ACCCGTCCCGATTATTCTAGTCGCTAAAAATCCGTTAATGAAAGAATCCCGCTGTGAGCAGTAGAAGATAATAGAGCGCATGACAAGGATAATATTGATTGAGACGATGTAACAATTAAAATGTTATCAATCTCTTAATAGAAAACCGAACCTTCTTATTAAGAAGTTACGTAAAACTTCGGAAGACATTTTAAAATGCATTCACTGTCAGAACAGCTTTTATAAACGAAACCAATGTCTAAGTAAATAACCTTTGAAAAACTATATGGATTGCGAACTGCAGGTAATATCGTCATAGATCTTCCTTGTGCGTAAAAAAAGTACGCATTTATTATATAAAAGTGATGTATCTGAGCATTTTTGTTCCGATCATGTGCACACGAAACAACTGTGCTTAGGTATAGACTATATTTGATCTATATATAACTTTTTCCTTATGATTCATACTGCGAATCCCGTATAACCGATTACCACCACCCTCGAATCAGAAGCAGGCCTCAGCAGTTATTCCGAGGTTCACCACTCAAACCACAAGCCAATAGGAAAAACACAGAGCAGATAAAAGGTGCAAACGATAAATTTTGCTAATTTTTCTTGAGCTTTACTTAGACCTAATAGAAAGCCGTAACTTTGGATGCCGTCCCAAGATCAAATTAGCGACCCTGGGCTCAATTTAACTTATTTAAACTTCTAGTGCTGCCGACCGCTTCAAGTTGGCATGTCCGTAGATCTCATATATGCATATGATCTTATACCAGCACTCACGATCGCTAAAACAGCAGGCATATAGTGTCGAGTATCATTGCGTATAGCCTGATAGTGGTATGTATGGTACCGACGATAAATAAATCTCTATCTCCGTTCCTATTCACTTGAAATCACGTTTTTCGTCTTTCGCCCTTATCAGAATATGGGTGGGCGTATTTAGAGGGGTTTCTCCTAGAACAGGGGTTCACGTCCGTTTCCTCATTCTGTCATAGCCCGCCAAGTAGGCAGCCCTATTAGTAGCAGTGAGTGTGGTAAGTCACCGCGGCAGCAACTATTAGTGATACCTCTGAATGGAATGGTCATGCCAGATTGCCATAGTAGCTTTAGATAGTCATGCAGCTTGCAATGTCTGCATGAACGACATAGTGGCTCTTCTCGTCTGAAACGAGCACGAAAAGTAAAAGCGTGAAGGACTAGGATTTCGTCGGCTTGTATTTGAGCAGTTTATAAGAGGAAGAGCGCGGTTGGATGTGAGCAATTGGGATCCGTTTAGAGGCAATCGCAAAATGCAAATTTATGCTTTCGGCCTCTTTGCGCGCAACCTCTTGCTCTCCTACAATCATAGGAGTACCAGTAGAGTATAGTGGACAGAGAAAGACTCGGCCGCCAAAAGGACCAATGGACTAAAACGGGAGATGGCCGCAGAGCGAAGGCTATGAAAAAACGAGAAGACCAGAAGTGGTCGCAGCGGACCGATTAGCTTGAGTGTGGATCAAGAGCGGACGACGACTACGAGCCCCACTACGAGAACGGAGCCGAAGAGGCATTATTCTTATTTGTGCTTTTATTAGACCTGTCCGCTCACTATAATTCCTTCACTACCGGCCTCTCCTGTTATCTGCATCGCCCTTTCTTCTGCCCCAATATTTTCGAAATTTTCCTCGTTTTCAGTATTGCTGTCTTAACACTTTCGCTGAACCTTAACGCCACTGGCGCACTTTCGTCGGGTGCATCAACTGCCACGTTGTCGTGGTCCTTCCGTTCATTCTTCTGGCGGGGCCATTTCCTGCTCCGTCCTCGGCACAGGTACCTCACAGAAACACCAGCAGTGACAGCGTCAACGTCCCGATTCTTTCCTTCCTTATTGTCCCTTTCTTTTTCCCTCTTTCGCGGTGTTACTGATGGCTGTTTTTCCATCGCTTTATATTTGCCACGATCGCGACGAGACGTTGTACTATCTTCATCGGTGTCTGTCGTAAGTGTGTTTGTGTGTGAAAAATCGACAGACGATCGAACGGCAAGCAGGAGACGGTTCCCGGAAGGAATGGATTTTGCTATCCATTGCAGAACGAAGGAGGGGCCAGAGAAATCGTTTGAAACGGTAGAAAAAAGATACAGATACAAAGCAGAGAGTGACAGCGCGAAGTGACTTGAAACAAAACATTGTGCCGATGTCCACATGAAGCAAATGCTGGGGTGGTCGTTGTCGACAGACGACCAGTCAGACGGAAAACCCGGAATGGCAAGAAGTGTGCTTATGGGCTTTGCTGTTCGCTTCTTAGGGTAGCAATGGAACGTCGAATACTTTCATTTCCTGTTCTTTCCTTAACGTTTTAGTAAACGTGATAACCAGAAGCATGTTACTTGATCGGGCATAAAAAAGAGCAAGCAGAACTAACATGGCCTGAGATGTACAATTTTGTTTTTGCTTCAATCACGTCCGTCCCTGCGTGTTTCCATTAGGTTTGTTTATTCCTATTTTTTTTAGCCGAATACCTTGTTGCACTGGGACAATGCGATGAGATATCTGAAGGCAATATCAGTTTGGCATACTGGAGAAAATAAATACACAAGTGTCTACACTTACAGTTTATGTAGGTAAAATAACATCAGAAGGTGATCCTGAAGTTTAGAAAATCATGGTAGGAAGACTGTTTTAGGTAGTCGAGAGAGAGCGCAAACGCTATAAAAAGGGAAATAGACGCTGTGACTTTCTGTGGAACCTCATAAAAACCATCGATTCAGTAACCATAGAACCTTTGTCGAAGAGCAGGTTAAATTGATGCAAATGCGATCCATTTCCATACGATGGGTATGACCACGGGACAAAGAAGAAGCTGCCTCAGCCTCCGAGCGCAGTTAACCCTGATCACTTCGGATCGAGCGATCCATATGTATTGGCTGTTGAGACGCAGACCGATACTTTGGGTGGGGTGTGGTGAGCAGTCTTGAATAGCCTGAAGGGGGTGGATAAGGTAATTGTCCATGTGGGTTTTTTTCAAGGGGTATGTGCCATAATCTGATTAAACTTTTACTCTTGAGAATGAGTGACTAACGGTTCAGGTACAAGTCGGAACTGGATAACCTATAGAGTAGCACTGCAGGAAAGTGGGGGAACGAGATCTGGGAACGACGTCAATCAAGAATCGGGGATTGTTGTCCATATAGACTCTTCTTTTATCGAGATTCTAGAGTAACTAGGGCCTCATGCGTATGCAGATAGTGTAGTATACTATCAGAGCATCAACAGCAGCAGCATAGAACCACGTGTGCTTGAAAATTGGCAACACAATCAGGTTTCTGCGGGTAGGAATCACTGTACAGACGAGCACAAAGTAGTAGCTTCGATTTGAGACTCTTGTTTCCGTTTGTCAGTCTTCCGCTCTTCCTCAAACCTTCGTCGTTCAGAACCCCTTTCCTATCCCCCCCCCCCCCCCCCCACATACACACTCAAAAGGCATTTAGAACAAACCCTACCTCTATCAGATTTGTAGACTCGTACAAGATCGCCTTTCCCTTTTAGATAATCGGCCCCTGTCCTATAGCCGAACGAAGCAATACGAGCAAAAAAAGGGATGGCTTGTATGAATGAATACCAATGGCCGGTGCTATTGCTGCTACTCCCCTTTCACCCACCAGACACTCACATAAAGACACAGTTCCGCCTACCTCACTGTCAGTCGATCAGCGTTCTTGTGACCAGACTGGCTTTTTGCTACCAGCGTATGGAAGGGCGAAAACAAAAACGAAAGACCGCCGGTTCCGCACCTTGACAACTTGGGCACGAGCCAAAATATATACCTACGGCAACTGCAGTCGATGCTACGCTGCTGCTGCGCTTGCTAGCGCGTAGTATAACCCGTCGCGTTCAAAATACCCCCGGACCCCACGATGGCTCCCGCTAGGCGAGAGACCGCTCGCCTAGTCTGGAAAGCAGTTCCTAATCAAGAAATTCGTACGAATATGAAGACAAATTCTAAGCAACGATTTCGCTTGAGGCAGCAAAAAAAGATCTATACGTAGATTAAAACGAGAAGTCAGCCCTGTGTGACCCCTTGCAGGCAGTAATGCAAAACTTGCTGTTTTTTCTCCAGTGTCTGTTAGGTACTATCGTAATAAACGTGAAAAAATTTTTAAGTATATAATAAGGTTTTATTATTTCTCTTTTGTGTGTTATAATAATGATATGTCGAGCAACCTTCTAGTGGTTGCGTGAAATATGAATGTTTTATAGGTACATATATACTTTTAGTATATTTGCTTAAAGGGACGGTGCAGCGGACATATTGCTTATAGCTGATAATAGTATGGCGGTTTCATACAACTCGGGTTATTAACTAGTTTTCTTTACGGAGCTATATCAGTCCGTCGGACTAAATCACCAAAGGTTAGAAGACAGAGTAAGGGAATCGCGTTAGCTTACACGTTTGCTAGAGCTGACCCATGTCGTAATTTGCATGACCTAATCACAATATGTAATCGGTGTAATTGCAATAAAATCATCCTAATCGGTTAGGCCGCTGATTGCCCAGCGAACCTGTCACGACATGAAGGCAACGAGCAGTTTGTCGCCAACGTTGTACAACTAGATGCAGGAGCTGGAAGATAAAGAATTACTGTTTTATTTTTTGTAGTTCACGAGGGGTTGATGACCAGTCATTAATGTCTTTCAGCTTCAAATTCCATGCTGGTCCCGTGTTGCTAGTACCCTGCATTGTCTTGCTATACGTGATAGTTCTGTCGGTCTGTGTCACTGCGATCGTGTAGTATACTGAGTGTGAGGCCTGTATCATCCCGTTGCCGGTTCGAAACAAACCTGAGTTAGGCCAGGTTGTCCTGTCGAATCGAACTCCGTGCTCCATCTGTGCTGGCTACCGTTAATACTGGAGGCCTCGTTGCTCTTCTCCTGTAATACCCTTGCCGATAGAGGATGAAGAGTGTCCCTTTCCTTTTGTCTGTACGACAACGGACGCGTGCACCCTCTCCCGTCTGCGCGCATGCGTCTGCTGACATAGTATGCTCGGAGGGGCCCTGCGAGCCGGCCGCAGCTCTAAAGAGTGCGTCGTCGAGCATGTGCACTTGGCCAAATGATGCCCAGTAGCTGTTCAGGCTAGTGATGTCGGTAACGCATCCTTTTACACTATTGGTCGCGTGTGCTCCATAGCATCATGGAGTTTACGTCCACATGGTATAGATGTGTATAAACTCGGGCTGGCGGTAAAAAAGTTAAAATTATACGTAAGAGAGGGATAAAACCAGAAAGAAACTCCATCTAATCAATAGAAGCGTCAATACGACTACGGGAACGCTACCGTTGTAGAAATAATAGGGTCTATGCGAAGGAAGTATGCCACCGTTTACTAGTTGTGTCTTTAACCAGCACGGTGAAGGCTTGTTTCGATTATGAACCCGCGTATCATCATCTCGACAACGGCATTCGCACGTTTGACCGAGTCGAGCAGGATCTGTAATTCCATTAAGAGGTTCCATTACCGCACCGTTCGACTATTTCCCTAGTGTTCTGCGCGCGTGTCGTTCTAGCCCTGCGCTGAGTACTGCTGGTCAGAAGTGTAGTGCTGGCTTGTCCTTTTGCGCACTCGTCTCCGTTACAGTGGTACTATTGCCGACGCTGCTGCTGTCATACGCGGCCCCGGACGACACCAAAAGGATTATCATCATTACGATAAGCAAACGCAGCGAAGTATCACACCTGTGAGCATGTGTATCTTACCGATAGGCGATGATTGTGAGTGAGTGACCCGCTTCGTCTGTAGCGGTAATGGGTAACCAGTGTGTTCCTTCCGCAGCCATAGTACTAAGGGGGGAAACAGCTTAAAGCAGCAACAGCTGAGTCCCTCGAGGTGTGCTGCAGCCGTGACCTTTACTATATATAATTCAACTCTGTTTATTTGTCTTTCCACAGCGAAAAAATAGTCGAAGTGTGTGTGTGCGCCTTTCAAGTGTCGTTGTACTTCTGTGTCGTTCTGTTCATATTCATGTGTTAGTTCATCAGAGGTTTTATTCAGTGAGTGCATCATACCGAATTACCCACTGTACCGGCAAGTCAAATAGGCGGCCCCCAATCGGCGAGTGAGCTAAGAAACGCAACGAGTGCGCGACGATGGAGCTCGTTCGCTGGAAAATTTAGGAAACGCTTTCTTGGGAACGGCGGCGAGCCGTTGGGCGGGCGTTTTTTGCAACATTTTTAAGCAGCGACATCAGGCAGCATTATTATCTGCTGGTCAGCGCGTTAGCAATAACAGTGTCTCAATTAGCCGATTCTCGCCAGTAGGTGGTGGCGGGCCCAACTACCGAAAGCAGCATTTCCGGACGCATAGCAACTCCTGCGTCATGCGAACAGCGCTCTTGGTAATGGTCGCCCTACTGGCGGAGGTAAAGGGAACATCGGCTACCCTACCACTGCCGGGAAGTGGAGGCACCGCTGGTACTAGCAGCAGCAGCAGCAGCAGCAACGGGCCGATTCATCCGACGTTCCAGGGCTCGCGCGTGAGCGACCGCGTCGTTAAGACCAACTATGGCAAGCTGCGTGGACGTATCATCATACCCGAATCGAAGTTCGGTATCACGCTTCAACCAGTCGAAGTGTTTCTCGGGATTCCATACGTGTCTCCACCCATAGGAACGTTGAGGTTCTTGCCGCCGATGAATTCGCCCCACTGGGAGGATATTCGCGACGCGGATCACTTTGGACCCGTGTGTCCACAGAAGCTCCCGATTGATTTAAACGACACTGCGCAGGCGGCGCAAAAGATGCCATTAGCGCGTGTCGAGTATCTCAAAAAGATTTCGCAACTACTTATTAACCAATCAGAGGATTGTCTATTCCTCAACATTTACGCGCCAGCTAAAGGTGAGTGATTGACTAAGTGTATGGAGTAGAGCCAGTGAGGATGTAAGATGACAGACAGAGTTCCAGTTCTAACGTACCCGTTAGCGGCCTACCTCGAAATGTGACTGCCGAAGTCAACGGGAACTAAGGAAAGAGGAATGGAGGGTTTAAAATAGAAAGGTTTACTATGTAAAGAAAAGTGATCTCGATATTTTCTTCTGCTGTAACAAAAAAGTCTTGCTACCAATGCTACCGTCGCTCTAGCGACTGGGGTATGTCTCGCCAAAACAGTGTTCGTCTGAAGGATGACGCAGTTGTATCCCCAAAACTGTATTATGCTTACTCGTTTCTTCGCGGAGGCCTCTCGACTTCGCGCAACCGTTACCACTCGTTTCGGGCCTTCCTACGTAACTACACGAAGCTCCTCTGCCTGCGATAGAAAATTCCGACCTGTATTGCCCGACGAAATCATGTTGGTGTTCTTCCTACTTGAATTTCGCTACTACCTCCAAAGGCTAGCACCGAACGGCGGCCAAAAAAAAGAGACGAAAAAGTATTGACGTTGGCCTCACGGTGGCAATAGCAAAGATACCTTAGTTTCGTCACTAAGGATGACGATGGGAGAGAAAAGGAAAAGGCATTGCAGAGGTACGGGTTGAGAAGCTACATCTTCCTCTTCCAGCTTCTCTCCGAAAAAAATGTTTTGGGCTGTTGCCGCCCACACCGCTGATCGACGTACGGTTTTCTGCAGTTGTGTTACGCTGGCAACGGGCGTGCGAAAACAAGAGGAAAACAGCATAATAAAAGTTTTTATATATGGACCCTTCAACCCATCGAAGCAGCCAGTAACAATCAGCATCTGAGGACCTACCCAAAATGCCTAAAGCATTTCTGTAGCGTACAGTGCAGCTTTTATAGTTGGTCTTACAATTTTAAAATGATGAGAACACCACGCTCTCGAGTGACAGCAATGGTTAGAAACTGATCGACCTATTTTTGGCACAGTTCCGAAAGATAATTTTTAGAACACATGTACCGGATGCGCCGCCTGAATGGAAATGCACTTTGGTGGGTTGTTCACCTTTGCGGGAATATGTGAATTCGCTATATTTGCATTAAAAGCAGGTGGATTCTTTCTAGAAAAGTCCCACAAATGCACCACAACGGTGGCAAAAGGTCAGTCTCTGAAGTATGGGAAAAGATCCGCTATTGTATAATGTCTTTGCCGTGCACGAACCCTCGCCGAGGTCATAAACTCCCTTAGTTGCAGGAAATGGACAATTTACATTATTGCAGGTCTCCAGAAGGTTCTCTAACATTCTAAGAAAAATAACAGTATGCCAATGCGAAAGATCCACAACAGGACAATAACTCAGAGAAGCTAAGGACTTGTAAAAAAAACAATGAAATTCATATTTAATGGTACCGCTGTTTTTGTCTCGATAGTGAGAGATATTTTTGGAAGCGTACTTGCCTCACAACTAACTAAGACTTCAAATCTATTTTTTACATCATAAAAATCAAACCGATATTCTGAAGACGCAAGAGCCTAGATATTTTTTTGGAAACAATTTTAAAAATGAACCATGCTAGCCTACGCCGATTGCTCCCTGACGAGAGTGCCTTCACCCTTGATGTAGGTCGGTGAAGGTTTCGGCGAAGGAAGGACCGCTAGTTTGGCTGCCACTCCAAGAATGTTTCCACCTTAGCTAGAACAAAATTCTCTACATGTGATGACTTTCCAAGCAATACAGCTTGATGAAACTAACGTCATGTCGCCACTGCTTCGTTTGTATATAAATAAACAATAGTGGAATACTATACAAATTGTGACAAAGCCGAGGGTTATTGGACAAACTGTATTTGTTCGCTTTGCAAATTGTAAACCGATAGAAAAACGTCAAGTTCGGTGCTTTATCATTTGAGCGTTCGCCGAAACTAGGGAAGGGGGCAGCATTTTGGCTTAAAATGATGCTCTTGAGCTTGTGAAGCGGTAGCTTCGTTACCCGCCGGTTCGGCAACTCGAATTCAATTCAGTAAGCAACCGTTTATAGACCAAGTAATGGAGTCATCTCAACTTAAGGAAAAGTTCCAGAAAAGTCCTGAGCCATTAAAAAATAATTTATGTGTAACGTTTCAACGGAACTCCAATGCACGAATATCACGACGTTACTGGCGATTTACAGAATGAAGCGTGAGGTTATTTAGAATTGGTTTAGCTCTCCCTTGACGAATATCGAAGCGTATAGCCTAGTTGCAGAATTAAATAAAATTAAGCAAAATAACTAACCTCGCAATTTACACCAACCTATTTTGCAATTGTTAAGGTATCAGCGTTACGTCTTCGGGCATTAAATAGGATTACGCTTACGCTTAAGGCCGGCCTTACATGAATTTATTTATGCAACCTTATCAGTTCACAGATACTAAACAGACATTTTTTAAAACTCGTACAGCTTACCTTCATGGTTTCCTTCAGGCCTCGTGGCGGGTAATTAGGCTCATGTTGGCTAAGTGTATGTTCCGGATGAAGAAATACTTGGCACTCTCAAGTTCGAGCCCGCTAGGCCAGATGTAATCTGTAAACGCACAATTTGCGCAAAATAAAGCTAATTGCATGTTCGTTCGATTCCGTTCGTTCGCTCATACTAAACGTTATACGATTCAGGTTCCCGATAAAGCCTACCTGTACTTTAATGTACTGCTTTCTATGTCCTGCATCAGTATATGCGCATTCTTCACGGGCCATTTCAGACGAATGGACATTTCGGATGCACGGCCACAGACCTAATAAGCACGTTCAGATCTTGCTTGTGAACCCACTGATTCGGAAGCGTTTGTATGGCTCCTCGGGCCTTGGCCCTCATGTGTATCCAACTCACACAGTCGGCAACGAGCCCTCGCTACAGGCGACACGGGTATACTAGAACGCGCTGCGACGACAACTACTAATACCGGTACCGCCATTAGAACTCGAAATGCTCCGCAGACCGACAAAGCCTATGGTGATTTGTATTATTGCGCGAAGTGCCCTGATCCAAGGGTAGTGCGGATATAAAAACATAGGTAGCCGACGACCGGAGAGTGAGATAATTAAAACGTGGTCTGGACGATCCATTCCCTCGATGTTGGTCTGCTTTCCCCACTTCTACTGGCTGATGTTATTATAATACATGCTGATGTGATCGTGTCGAATTACAAAGGAAGAACAGGACGCTTTCCTTCGTTCCAGGTCTGTCGCTGCTCGATCAGCAGTAAGGGGCGTCTTACTGCTATTCGACGCCCCTTAGTGCCGCTCGAGTATGTTTGTCGTTTTGCTTTTTTTATCTCTTCCGTCTCTGTCTGTTATCTTGATTATCACAGATGTGCGCTTCTCTCGTTCTTTATGGATCGGATTTATTTTGCCCAGTGGCTGCCCATCGTTTCGACGAAATAGACTCCTCGTCAGCGCTCAGTGTTCAGTGCTGGCTAATTGTGAACATGCCCTACACGGTAGACGGTTTCTCCGTACTACAATGAGTTCCATACAGGCATTGTCACCGAGTGTTCGTCGACGAATCTTTGCTACTGGGTACCGCTTCTGCTGGCGCTACTGCTGTTGCTCAACTGAAGACAACATCTCCAGCTAGCTATCGGCGATACCTGCTAAACGATAGTTTTTTTTTGCTTCAGCAACTCATAAGCTGGCTTTGCTGTCTGTACCATACGTTAGGGGCGAGTCGTTAACACTGTGCCAGCTTGGCTATCTGCCGTACACCTCACTCAGGTACTATTTGGGAGAATCATTAACAGGGATGGACAGCCTAAGCACCAAAGGCGTTCCCGTGTGGAGAAGCTGCTCCCTAGTCTACTGGCAGGTCTTTCCTACTCACAGTATCTCAGTAAAGTTTTCGTCAGCACTGGCTGCTGCAACGTGAAGCAGCCTCTTCTGATGTCTTCCGTTCCCTGACAAGTGGGTTGGCCCCGTTCGCGTTTACCGGGATGAACGAATGAATTTCTTGCCGGTCTGCTATCGGTCGAATGAATTTCGCCGCCGCTGCACTCAACCCTTAGTCTGAATCAGCCCTCTTAGGCCATTCATTCTTGGGTGTTTCTTTATATATGGTATCTATCCTTCCTCGTCTTGGCGCTGGGTCCAGCTGCTCTTGGGGCTGCCGCACATTAGAATTCGTAGGATACGTTATGTGGCCTTTAGGAGTATAGTGCATGACAAGGTTTGTGTGATCGATTCTATTTGATTTAATTGAATCAACGCGTTAACCTGACCTGTTAGCGATACAGAAAACAATTGGCTAACCAACTTGACCGTTCAACAGAACTGGTAGGCCCTGTGGTCTTCCCCGACACTTGTTGAACGTGCCAGTCTGTAAATTCGATATGGTTTTTTTTGGCTCACAAAGGATAGAATAGGAATGTGTTTTTTTTTAATCAGAACCAAAGACCACAGTAGCTGTATAATGACAGACCCGCTCCATTAGCAGAGTAAAACATCAATAATTGCGACAATATAGCAAGAGTGGCTTTGCTCGTCTACTTGTTTGTCGAGTTAACTGCTTATCTAGTCTTACCAGGTAGACAGAAGCACGCGTTAAGAATCGCGTTAATTGATACTTCATCACTGGGTGAGAGACGCTACTTCACCTATTGACCACGCGACCAAGCCAGTGTTGCTAAGGTCCAGTGGTGAGCCTATTAAAAAAGACCTCTGATGCCAGCGATTCTCCCATAGTTTCTCTTCCTGTTGGTTCGGCTCGTCTCCTATATCTAACACTTGCCTCCTGTCTAAGCGATAGCACTTAACCGGATAGGTGACCAAGTAAGTGACTGGACCTTCGAGAAGTTGTTCCAAAGCTGGTGGAATAAAGAGCCAATGTCTCGGCCAGAATAGAAACAAGCTGCGTGCGACAATCAGATCCCTCGTTGATTACCATCAACCGGCAAATAGGCAAACAGCCATTCCTTTTCGTTCACCCTCATCTGTCCTTTACGTAGTACATACCCACCTGGACCTTTGCCAGGGG